TACGGGAGGGTATGAGATGCTCTGGTTGCATCGGATGCCACCCAAACTACGCACGCTTAGGAGACCACGAGCTCATCGATCGACTGAGTATCTTACAGGAGCTTGCACCCAAGCAGGCGCCGTCAAACCTGTCGCTTGGTCATCATGCGGTCGGGTGATGGTGGTGAAGAAGATGACAGTAATGAAGATGGTTAGTTGTGAGCATACCGCGACCAGCATCGGACTCTGGTTTTGAAGTTTTGGGATTGGATCTGTCGCAGCTGTTTATGAATCTGCCTGTTGGACAGAAACGTTACAAACGTAGAACCCCTGCCACAACCAGAAATGGCTGTGTTGCAAGAGCTTGGGATCAGGAACCGGACATCCACTTCGGTCGCGACGCCAACGAGCCGCGTGGAACATATTCAAGGAATCGGATACTGTGCTGTTTGCGGCTGTACAGTGTGCAACCGGGTATGGAATCGGCTCCCGCTTTTTCAATATTGGGATAGAATTCATCACCGTGGCTTATGGGTCCTCTCGCTAACTGGGTGTATGGCGATACACAGAACCGTTTGCTACGTGGTTGACAAAACAACTACAGAAAGCAACAATTGGCTCCTGGCATAATCCAACCCAGAAAGCAGGACGGTTCCTTGGTGGTTTCTGGTTTTCCCAGAGAACCGGTGTCAGCCTCTAGTGAGTACAGTACTGTACTGCATACTGACCTTCATGTACGATGTCAGAAAATGCAGCCATAACTGGCTGCGCCAAAAGGAACTCTAGATTATGAACCAGAAACTGTTTTCGGCCGGAAGTGTACCTTCCTATCCCAATTGTGCGTTGTGTGCGTCTGTTTTCGGAGCTTTGTGGGTCGTGAGCTGGTACCTACTCGCTCGCCCTTGTCATCAAGCACCTTGGCTTCATGGCTCGTCTGGGAGAGGATCAATCACTGCAGCCACGTGAACTTCAAGGAGCACATTAGAACATTTCTGCACGTTCAAACATGGCCAGTACAGTACTTCCTACAAGAAAAGCCACATTCTCTTCGAACTGCAACGCCAACCCATCTTTCACTACCTGTCCTTCAAGTGACAACTACGTTTCACTTTCTGCATACACCGACCACCTTTTCACGGCTCCAAACAGCGTCCACCATGGAAAGACAATCAGTCGACCAAAGCAACAGCGATAACGACGCATCCATGACCGAGTGGCAAGTGCAACGTATCCAAAGACATAGCGTTGTTCGTGATGCAATCTACTACCACGTGGTTTGGAAACCAACCTGGGAACCCGAAGATAAACTTCAACACATGCTACCCGAAGTCATTGCTTGGAACACTTGCCACGGCTATCCTGAATCCAGAAGAAGACCGTCGAATCAGTTTGACCCCACTCTGGAGCATTGGTCGGGAAGGGTCATCGGGAGAAAAAAGGTGGACGGCCTGGCTTACTACAAGATCCAGTGGGAAACGACCATGGAGCCGGAAGCCAATCTGGAGAATGCAAAAAGCCTCGTGAGGGAATATTGGGATACATTCTACAAAGCCTAGCCAAGTCTGAAGGATGTGTAGTGGCTCGAACCGTTGTGAAGGTAGTAATCGATCACTTCCATGTCGAAGCATGCATAGATGGGACGTCCGCTTTTGACCGCAAGAAACCGTAAGGGAACTCCCACGGCTGTACAGTATTCAAAGATGATGCTTTGATTCGATCTTGAAACGATATGGACACAGCAGGTTCTTACCTTCCGAGATGGTTGAAGTCATTCGGCTAAATCGGACAAGCCTATCAGTGAGTCTTACCCATAGACAGGTGCAGCTGTGAGCTCAAACCGCGCCCTTTTTCGGCACACTCACCAGATCTCTGGACACCTTCCACGAAATGCCACGACTAGCGCGATTCGATTGCTCAGGGCACTTTGTGTGTATTCTTTGATGCACTTGTGTTCGTTTTTTGGTCCGTCTTGTGATGACCTGTCGCAGTTCTGAATTGCCAAGTTCTTGTTAATTATCACCAAAACCTATGGGACTATCGAGAGGAACTATGGGTGTTTCAAGGTTCTCCAGTCACGTATGACGCACCCGTTTCGAAGCAGCATCTTCCTCTTCCATACGCCTCTTCATCGGGCTTTTGCTCTCGGTCTGTGGCGACTCCCTCGCCTCAGCAGCCCGTCCGGTCGTGTCCTCTGCTGCGGTCATTGCCAACGCCAGCAGCGGAGCGAAAACGTCGTCCCTAATGCTCGCGTTCCCATCGTCGGATGCCCGACCATACGTCTCCTTCAGGGCATCCCCGAACGTTTCGTCCACAAGGCCTGCCTGCAAGTCTACAACGGAATTGGGTGTCTCCGAGCCTTGTAGCGACATTGAAAACGCCGCCGGCGACACGGTACCGCACGACAGCTCCATGGGAGACATCTCCATAGGAAACATCTCGAGCTCCAAGCGTCTGATACGCTCGTCTTGCGCGTGAATGGTCTGACATTGCGCTTCGATGCGTGCCTTGTCTTGTTGGTTCTCTCGGTAAAGTTGCTGAAGCTGGGCATCTTTCGAGGCGGCATACTCGCGCCAGCGTGAGATGCATATAGTCATCTCGTGTATGATGATTGCGACGAGCCTTGCAGTGAGATTGTCGGCTCTGGCGTTAGGTGTAAGCTGAGGCACGTCCATTTTGATGCAAGTTGGTTTTCAAAGCTCAAATCGATTATCTGGTGTCCTAGACACTGCGTCCTTTTCAAGGAAAGCAATATCATTGGAGCATGTTCACGCGAGCACAAAGCTGATGGTGAGAAGTCGTTGTCATTGCGTAGCCAGAATAAGCTGCGCGTTTTGAAAGACGGTTTCACCGCTAACTAGCCCCGCTCACAGCAGTCCGCCTACGTAGGTGTATTTCGGCAGTACATGGCCTCAAACAATCGAAAGTCACTACTGCACTCCAGAAGAGCACATATGTGGTTTTGCGTTTTCTCCTCATTTGTCCTACTTCTTTGGCAGGCGGAGGTCTTGAGGAAGCAGAGCGTTGAAATGGGGTCAAGTCATCGTGATCCATCCTGTCGCAACGACGCGATGCTTGTGCTGCGGCTTAGCCATTCCCGACTTTAGGTTGTTTTCCTTCAGACTATACATAGCAAGTAAAAAGCTGCCGCTTATCCTCGATGTGGTGAAAGTGCACAGCACGCGTACGTACAGACGTATCAATGGATGACTCCAAGCCACATTTGGATACAGCTACAAACTGCTCAACGAGTGAACTCACAACTCGATATTTTCCGCGTTACAGTACAGAAAGGTACAGTGCATACAGCGAAGGGAAGACAGCAAGAAATCAAACTGCCTGCTTCCATTCAGCCACGGTTAAACATACAGCCAGCCAGTCATATGCAGGTAGGGTGCTCTATAAGGCACCCCGGTGAGTTGGTTGTGATACTACATCACTTGATTTGGAAGGTGTCACGGGGAGCCATCGTCACTTGGTCAAATCTTGCCTCGGAAATGCTTCTTCCACCAAGCGTATCGACTTCTTCCTCATCACTTGCTTCATCCAAGCATGCCATTCCTTGTAGGTGTCTTCCCAGTTGTTGGACTTGAGCCTGAGGGTGTGGATTGCCTAAAACCATGCATCTTCCGAGAAAGCCTGCTGCAGCCCATAGCCCGTCACAGCCAAAGGATAGAAAACGACCAATCGCCTTCCGAGAAGTACCTTGCAACTGTCATGCAACTCGTCATAGTTTTTGCGCTCCATCCTCGTTGTGACAACAGTAGTGATCATTGGCTCATTCATGATCAAACCACTCTCGTTCTGGTATCACTCCAGTCTGCCTGACCCGTGTGGCTGTCAAGAGAAGAGTCTGCTAGGACTTGGTAGTATAAATTCACGGTTGGACACACAGGCTATCACCTTTGAGTTTGTCTGTCTTGCCGTCTTCTTTCAAAACCACGCAGCCCATTGTCCTTTTACCAGCGCACTTCTCTCATTCTACTCGTGCTAACTATATCACTCCCACAAGGTTGACATACTGCAATGACCGGCCTCCGCTACAAGAACTCGACGACTGCTCCTTGGGTCGATCGGGTCACAGCAACCGTTGGAGTGGTCGCCTCCTGGTTGAAGACTTTACGTGCGTCGAGACCATTGTTCTGTCAGATCGAAAGCATTCTGATCTTTACCACAGTTACCCCACTCAAGAAAGTCACAAAAGGCTTCAAGGCTGCTAATAACAGCCCCAAAGTAAGTGGTAACACTTTACCTTTTGCCATCGGTTCAGGTTTGACAAAGGTCAGGATGTCCCTCCGCAGGAACCCCCCTGGTGGGAACTCAATGGTCCGGCGCCTCCAGGGCTTACCCCTCATGGTACACGTCAGAACTTTCGCTGAAGGAAATATGTCTTCTGTGGCATCCTTAACTAGGACGTCGACTCCTTGTTGTATACAAACTTAACGTATCAGTTATCACGTCCAGTATACGACTGGCAGCGAACATGGAAGACAGTTGTTTCGCTTCTCGCGTGGCTTGGTGGCTCGTCACTTATCGATACATGCTAAGACTTCCAAAGACCTTCGATCATTGCTTCTCCCTCAACTTTTCTCACCATTGTACGAGCACCATCGGGATACAGGGTGACGCCGGTGGACTGCGAGTTCTGCGGGGAGACGTGCGTAGAAACCTAGCCATTTCTATGGCTGCGGCTGTCTCATACTAGTGTTCTTTCGGGGCATGTCAATTTAAGGAGAGGAAAGCCGCGGAAGGTAAACGAAGTGAGTCTGTAAGATATTTGACGCATACTTGGCGCAAAGCCTGTATGGAAGAAAAAGCGTTACAGAGGGGTGAGGGGAATGAGAGGTTGGTTGACCACAACCCGTCTCAAACCCCTTGATCGTCGGATTCACTGCGGGACTCATCGAGATCTCACAACGTCATATGTGAAGAGTAGACGGTAGACATTAAAAAGTGCCCATTACGGCGAACTCAAGCTTCCCACGCCTTCCAGACCAGACCGCGAAACCCAAACCCAACCCTGGCTACCAGGATACGACAAAACTTGCCCAGTCATCTAGCGAACGACTACACAGATGTCTCCATTGCTGAACCCCACCTAGAAAGACAAGCGGCTCAATGTTCTTGTGCGGGATGTTCGCGCCAGTCCACCACGCAGTGCTGTCGCGAAAAAGAGTCGACTCGAAGGCATCCATTACAAGACTTTTCCACGAGCGGCAAGACTCTTCCGATGGCTCGATCGAACGCAGGCCGTCTTCGCGCATCCGCTCCAGGAGGCTTACCACCCAGTCAACCTGAAGCTCGATGAAGGGCGGTGCGTTGGTCTGCGTTGTCGGTCCTTGTGGTCCGTACAGCATGAACGCGTTTGGCATATTGGGAACCATCATGCCAAGATACGTGCTGATGCCGCTCTTCCAAGCGTCCCGTAGCCGGACGCCGTGCTTGTCGTGAATGTTCATGTCAAGCAGGCTACCCGTCAAAGAGTCGTAGCCGGTGGCCATGATGACGATGTCCATATCGTGGTGTGTGATGGCGTCCGTGGTCTTGGTAACAATCCCCTGCCTGTCGAAAGACTGAATCGGTGTCTTCTTGAGATCGATCAGTTTGACATTCGGTCGATCCAGCATCTCATAGTAGTCCATCTCAAGATTGACGCGTGTCGCTCCGAACCATTCGAACTGATCCAGAGGCGCGACGATGTCCCTCTTCTCGGGATCCGTCATCCGGCTTCTCGTTTTGCGGACCCAGAAGTCGTACAAGCATGCGTTGGCCGTCTTGTCGAACGCGATGTCGCGATAGTTCGACTTCGTGAGACCGAGGCCACCCCTATTCCACAGTCGCTCAAACAGGGCCGCCCGTTCTGCTTCAGTCGTGCAGCGTAGCAAATCCGTATTGTGATTGTAGGGCAGCGCCGAAGACGAGCCGAACTTGGCCTCGGTAAATATGGCGTCGTAGTAGTTTTTCATCTCTTCCGACTCTCGGTTCGACAGCTGTCTTTGGTGCATGGGGATCGCGATGCAGGGGTTCCGAACGAAGACTGTGAGTTGGCAGTCCACTTTAGCAAGCTCCTGTACGATCTGCAGACCGGACGCTCCCTGCCCGATGACGCCAATCTTCTTGCCCGTAAGCTGGAGATCGCTGGGCCATGCGGACGGATGGATGACGGGCCCACCGAACATGTCCTGGTTTGGAAAACGAGGCATGTACGGTTTGTTCATCGGGCCGCATGCGAAGATTGCGTACTTGGAGGTCGCGCACAGACCCTTTGTCGTGCGAAAATGCCAGCGTCTGCCCGCGGGGTCGTACTTGACCTCGTCCACTCGGGCGTCGAAAATCGTATCCTTGCGCAAGCCGAGAGTGGCATCGACGTGATGAAAATATCTGCGGATTTCTTCGTGCCCGGGAAACCGCTCGGTAAAGTGGAAGTCGGACCAGACTTCGGACAGGCTGAACTGGTAGGAGGGCGTGTCGGAATCGACCCTGGCTCCGGGATACCGATTGAAGTGCCAAACGCCCCCAAAGTCGTTTCCACGTTCAAGAATCTTGGCCGAGTACCCCGCCTGTCGAATCTTGAACAGTGAATAACAACCGCTGAAGCCTGCGCCGACAATGATGGCGTCTGTTTCAAGCGTGTCTGCCCTAGTTTTTTCCATTGCAATGAGGAAGCGAGAAATATGGGGTGGCCGATTGCTGTGGTCGCAGGTATCCGAAGCAGTGATAAAAGTTGCATGGGTGTGAACGAACAGTAGTAGGATCTGTAGATTAAATCTGCTTCACTTGACTTTTTTATTTCGTGCCTTTATATACGTGACTTGGTGTATGAACAGCCATGATGTCGTGTGTCACCAACGAAAGCGGCTTCTGGCTCTTTCGTACCGAGCATTCATGGCAAGGCATCCCGTGGGATGTCGCAAGAGAACGGCGGTGGACCCAAGTAGAAGCAGCGACATGCCATTTCGGACCATCACAGGGCTCGCAGCAAGTTGTTGTTGGCCGTATCCCGCCGCTGCGGCAGGAGCAGTCTCCGGCGCATCAGTTCACTTGCTGCCTCCCGTGCACAAACGTCAGTGCTCGAAGACCCCTACCAACCCAGGAATGATGGGATGCATGGTTGGGCGAAGCCTGGAAAGGGCCAGATCTCAAGCGTCGGAACTGGCGCTAAGAGGGCCTGTTTTCTCGGGTACTGGCGTCATGCCCCCCGATAGGCAAAGGTTGGGGCCAAAACAGCGCCAATCTCGGCGCAAGAGGGACGGACATTCTAGAACTCTTCGTAAAAGTGGAGACCCGGTATCTACTGCTGCGAATGCTAATACCGACAAGCAATCAGACACTCGCGAAATTTGGCGCTGCAGCTTTGTGAAGTGCGTGCAATGTCTCTATGGTAAAAATCGTCGGCACCTTGTCGGCCGGCGGATGGCTTGCCTGCCTCGCCGCAAAAATCACAATAGGCTTCCCTACCTACAACACACATCGATCCTTATTGATCAATTGCGCGAGACTGGCGTTCTTTGCATCAGGCGTCGTGCTTGGCCAAAAGCCGTGGTTTCGTCAAAGGCAAGCTCCGTAGGCGGTCAGCAGTTTGACTGCTTCTTCGCTGTTGTTCCGATAGGCAAAGAACAGCGGACGCTGTCCCCACTCCCCTGGGATGTTTGGGCCAGCCCCGTGCTGAAGCAGAAGCTCGGCGCAGGCGAGGTTGTTGTATAGAATTGCAACCCCAAGGGGCGTGTGCATGAACGGTTCCGCCGGGGCTCCGTCGGTCATGCAATACCCGTCATTTTGCGAATCGATCATGGATAGACAACAGGACTTCACTGACGACCCGAAACCGTCTGGCCCAATGTCGAAGAGCCGCTGGAGGATGTCGTAACCCTCGGTTTCCGCAGACAAGTTCGGCAACCCAAAATCGCCTGCCAGGGTATGCAGGATCGTGTCTCCGATAGAGTCTCGTAGAAATAGGTTCGTAGAACTCGTGAGGGCATGCTGTAACGCTTGCGTCTTCCGCCCACAATCGAGCTGATGCTGGTGCCAAGCATCCGTTGACACCTCCCGTCTGAACAAGCGCTCTGGCGTACGCACTAGAACATGGAAGATGAAATCGTTCTACTAGGTATGTCAGAGTACATCCAGTGATGGGTCCTTGCAAGTGGTACCAAATCTGTCCTATCGGCTTCTTGTTGTTCTTGATACCCATGCCAATCTCCCGATGAGGCAAGTGTCAAGTCGGTAGTCTCACTGCTGCCGTCGAGGGCTCTCCAAGCCGAGGGAGACTCGGATGGATCTGGATATTCGTATTCCAGGTAAGAGAGCTCGTCCGTTGGCACATCCCGTGTTGGTGTGACACCCCGCTCGGCGAGACTGTTGCCGCTGGAAGATGGCGTGTTCACGCCGGACGACCATGAATCAGAAGAGACAGTCGTCTCTTCAAAGTCCAAAGAATACGGATTGGAATCGATCAGCAAGTCCAATGAGTGTTGGTCCAGATGCTCCATTGCGTTAGGCGAAGCTGTCGTCCAGCTACGGGCGAAACGAGTAGTCTTGACAAGACAACCTGTCAATGAAGTACGTTCCTGATGCTGGAGCAGAGCGAGAGAGCATTTCATCATGACAGCATGATGTTTAAAAGTGTGTCCGTCGTCGAAGCGTTTATTCAGAAAGCAGCAAATGGCTCTCATATCCAGGGAGTCTCTCCAAAAGGACCTCTCACCCCATCAACCACCATCGGAAAACGCCACAACGCAATTCGCGTCCGGCAACGGAATTTGCGCGCTATACTGTACAGGACCTATCCTAAACCGGCTATCTTGTGGACCCCAAAAGCTTGTTTTGGCCCTGTTTGGCACACCCAGTCAGACTGGCAACAGTGCAGCCATGCAGTGAGAAGGATCGAAGCCAAACTTCGGGTAGTGTTATAAGTACATCCGTTCCACATCAAAACCGTCATAGCAAAGTATACTTGGAAAAGACTCGAAACATTCTGAGCCAGAAAATCAGTGACGACCTTTGACGCTGACATCACTATTTCGTGGTGTGTATTGAACATCGCTATTTACGAAACGCATGACCTGCGTGAAGATGCACGACTCTGCGCCGAAGAGTGAGTTTTGATCGCAGCCCAAGCCCTCGTCAGGTTCATGGCAATAACCCCCGAAGCCGAACTGGACCCATGCGACAGATCAGCCAGCCTGGAATCGCCGCCTTCCGCCCGAAACGAGAAAGGAAAACCCCCAGGGCTACGACTACATGGCCCACGGTACGTGTCTGGCGTTACAGTTTCCATAGAATGAGGGACTGACTGCTTGCCAGCCGTCAGAGCCTGAGGAAAAGTGGCCGTCGCAATGTCATTCAGTGTGAATCAATCACACCCGGCGCTACGCTCGGCTGGGTGACGAATGGTAGACTTGTCATGGAATTCGTCAATGGTAGGATGGCGTACTATTTTGTGGCCGACGATGGTCGTATGATAGGTGTCTATCCTGGCGTTTGGAGTTGTCCACCTGTGTTCCAGTGGTCGCCGAATTGAAGGTCCGCGAGCCATCGATGTAGACCGTGATTACTACAGTACAAAGCTGTTATGATGTCACTCATGCTGTCACTCATGCTGCCACTCATGTCAAAAGCATCATCACGTCTGGCTGTTTAAGCGGCATGTCATAGATAAAGAAGAACAAGGCTATACTGTAGACAAAATACGAAAGCCGATGCTGTCCGCCTTCGAATCGTCACCCGCTTAGCACAATTTTGACTAGTGCACAAGTTACACGGATGCATGGTAGACTATATCAGCTCCCTGGTGGCCCCCGTTTTGTCGACTGACACTATGCATCCGTGATAGCGATGAAGCTGATCGAAAGAACGGCCGAGAGCTTTCGCGGTGTTTCACTCGCTCCGCCAATCCCGCGTCTACTCTGACCTTCGAAAGATTGACCCAGATCCCCTCGTCACCTCCAAGTCTCTAAGGCATACTGTTAGGCCTGACGCCGACGACGTAGCCACTGGGGAAAACTTGCTCTCCGGGCGAAACGGCGACCTCGGATCGTTTCTGACGCTGCTAGCCACAAAGCTGTTCGCTTCTTCCAGCCTGAGTTGGAACGCAGCGGTGCTGTGCAGGTTTCGTGGTTGTGCTGCTGAGGAAAAATGGTTTGTCGCACCAGGGGAGAACAAAAGGTCCTCGTAAACGTCAGCCATTGTTCGCCCGAAGTGGAAAGCAAGTGGCTCTTGCGGAAATAATGGTGTCATTTTTGATGTTGCAAGCTCACGATGGCGAAGGGGTCAATATCTCACGACATAAGGGTCGTATATAACAGCATGCCAAAATGAGCCACATCTGGCAGCGCTCTCATCGCCTTCAAATTTTCGAGACAAACGGAAACGTGCTTTTGTGCACCACGAATACAGTCGTAGGTTCAGAGCCATTTTCGGCTTTGGGAAATGAAATACCATATATAACAGGTGAGTTGAAGGGTTACTTTCCAGCCTCACTTGTGTGTTGAACCAAATCGGATTCCGTTGCAATGGAGATCTGGGCGGTTGCCAATGTGTACACTGCTGCTGCTCCAAGAGTCAGTACCTCCCAGCCGCCGTCAGAAACAGTAGCTGAGCTTCCTCGAATATGCACGTGGGCCACCGAGGGCGATACGTCCACCACGACGGCAGCACATACAACCGCACTACCCAACACCTTGGTATCAAGCCATCGGTTCTGGAATGCTAGTTTCGACCACGAAACATCAAACGCTAGCGCAATTACCAGTTTTACGACGATGACGACGTCGACGACGACGACATCTGGTGGCAACGTTGAACCCTCTTGGATATACCACAAACCAACAGTGCACACCACCGCGACTATCCCCGTCAGCGCAACCGCTTCGCATGGCGCCAGCTGTAGTCACTTTGCAATCTTTGTTGCTTTCTTTCTGAGCATCTCGCTTTGGGACCGTCTTCATTAGACCAACCTTGCTCCTCCTGGTGGCCGGGACACGACGATCGGGCGATGCGGGGCGGCGCTGATGAGGAATGAAAGCACGGGTGAGACCTGGTTTACGTCCACTGCTGGATTTTCTATTTAGAGAAAGTGGTCGACGTTGTTTAATGGAGCACGTATCATGACTTTGCCGCAACAAAGGACTTGGAACTCTGGCTTTGAGGGCCCAACAGGATATCTGTGTCATATCTGTTTTGTATGGAATCTATGTCAGAAAAAGATGACGCTTTCAAGATTCGACTTTCCAAAGCCTCACTTGCTTCTTTGCTAGCTTCTCTTAATCACTCAGATAGGCTCCTTCAATTATGAAAAGATACCACAACGGTAACACAACAAGCCACACGCGGATAGGAGACAATGCACCACGCCAACCAAACATACAGACGAACCAACCAGATAACACATGTCAAAGGTAGTTCACAAAGCGGTCCCCAGAGACGTTACCAGCCTATTTGCACGTGTGATGAAGAATTGAATGATTGATGATTACAATTTCCTAGAAAGAATCGCTACCGACATTTTGATCGAAAGTTCCCTCACTCTAGCAACTTAATTTACCTGCGGATGGTCCACTGATATCGGTATTGACGTTCTCTTTATTTCTGTGCTTTTGCACCTTTGCCTGTCTTATACTGCATGGTGTTAGACCAGACAAGTTGTAAGGCTTTT